CCATCCAAAAAATAGTATATCATTCATCACATCCATTTAAAAATATCAGACAATCCATTTAAAAACACAACAAGTGTTGTGTTTTTGGTTGATTTACTTCTATTGAGATATAAACTATTTTAATATAGAAAAAATAAATTATAATATAGTTTTAATTTAATATAAGGAGCAAAAACTCCATTTGCAAAGGAAGTGATGGAATACCAAAATTTGGACGAACACGGAGTCCCACCAACACAAGAATATCAAGTCAAAGCACATCAAAACGTCCCACAATACACTTTTCAATATCTCCCCTCCACAATACAAACAACTATCAGTCGATGTCCAAACGAATCAAACGAATGGTTCTGAAGTGTCCCAAAGTGATAAGAACGATTCAACGTATTCAATTGTGTACTTTGGATTGGGATTCTTCTGTTTCTGCATTTGGATTGCGGGGTATTGCAGATTCAAAAATTCGACCGACTCTACTGCGAAAATTTTTGTGGTGTTGTCGCTTGTCTTCTTTATCATCTCAATACCTGTTTTGCTTGTGGGAATGGGGTATTTATTATTTTAACTCCTCGTCTATTACGTTTGGATCACTGGCGATTTTAAATAATTGAGCTTCTGTTAATTTCTGTTTAAAATGGAGTAGAGCTGCCATAATTTGTAAATTACTAAATATTTTTTGTTTATTTTGTTTTTTAGAAAAATAAAAAATCGGGAAATTAGCTTTTTTTTATTTTTTCAAAAAAACCACAATAATTGAATAGTAAATTTGTTATTTGGTTAATAATTAAATAATAAATTGAAATTGATGCTTATTGGAAAACATTAAGAAACCCTACGTGTTCTCAAAAAATAAAAAAGAACAATAACAATTAATTCAATTTTTATTTTGGCCAAGTGGTAAAAAACATATTAATATTATTTTAAATAAAATAGTCCACTTCTTCATCGTGTTAAATACATATAATATTCACATTATCCAATACAACTTTTAAAATCAATTATAATTAAAAATAATTTACAAAAATCAGCCTGACAATTATATTTATTCAGTAAAAAATGACAAGATAATAAATAACAGTAACCAATGCGAAATATTTTATTTCATTTAGTTAAATATTCATCGAGTAAATGTTGTATTACAATTACAATTTGATAGTTGTTTACATTGTTGGTATTATTAAATACAAATACTAATATTAAAAAACAGTTGATTTAAAATATTGTGTTTCTATTAATTTACAACCAAAACAAAAACTTTGTGTTTTGATTAAATTTTTATATTATTAATGATATTCAGTTTCACATTGTTCAATTATTGAAATATAACTACATTTGCTCATAAAATTAGAAACATATTTATAATTAATTATTGTATTTATTTTTGATACTCTATTGACAATATAATATATAGTTTTTTCAACTCATTAAAATAGAGTTTTTAATTATTCGTTTAAAGAAGCTATCAAGATATCAATTTAAATTAACAAACAACAAATATTCAATTGTGTTCATGTATATTTATTGATAATTCAATCTTTGAATTTAATCATAAATTATAATGACATTAAAATTTATAATTTTATTTGTCACTTTTGTTTAATTACAATAATATTATTAAAAAACAAACAAATAAACATTAAAATTAATACCATTTATTATATTGTATAACTACAGCGATAAAAAATAAAGTACAGCTTATATTGATAATTGCATGTTATCAAACATTACTTATGTTTTTAAAACGTCTTTTAATTATTTTTGTTTAATTATACAACACAATAAGAATTGTATTTTGATAACACAACAACAGGTATGCTCCAGTTTAATAAATACACAATTCTTTTATAAATTGTTTATATTTTATAATATGAATTGGTCTAATAATTTCATTATTAACTATTACATTTTTATTAAGAAACTCTGTTATAATAATTAAAATGCTTATATTTTTAAATATAATCATCATGAGACATCAAACATTATATATAAAGTAACACAAAAAAATAAAGAGAATATATCTATTTACAACAATTATCAATTTTAACTTGTTTCTTATACACATGATAGCAAAAAAATGATCATTGCTTTCATTCAAAAGTTAATAATTGTAAAAAATTAATTTGATATACAAAGTCTAAAATAATTATTATCGTTTAATTGATATTCTATAATTTCTCTGTAGTAGTTTTCAGTAATAACATTTTCAATAAAAGGATTTAAACAATCATAATGATTAACAATTATTAAAAGGAAAGAAATACACAATTTTAATATGGACTATTGAAAATGTTTAATTTTACCATTTTATCCACAATGAGTATTTAAACTGCTATCATATTTTTATCAATAATAATTTTTATTGTTTTTTGTTTTGGGGTTTTGGTAATATTTTTAAAAATATGCCGAATTAATATGTGTTTAACAAAAAATAACACAAAATAATAACATTTCAAAATAAAATATAAAAAAATTGTAGAGTTTAATTTTTGAGCTTTGCCTTGATGATAATTTAGTTATTAGATTACCGAGTAATTTAACTACTTGGTAATCAAATTACTGAAATTACCTATTACTGAGTAATTTAGTAATTCGAAAATTATTGCAGCTCTAAAATGGAGTTTGAGTATAAATTTAAAATTATATTTTTAGTTGAAGGTAGAGGTATTTTTTTTATAAGGTAGAAATATATTTATCATTAAAATTATATTTAAAATAGTCGCAGTACTGTTCTTTGAACACTTGACATTGTGCAAAACTTGATTTCTGTTTATTGTAACAATTAAATTATATTAATCATAATGTGTTTGTTTTGATAAAGCTTCTTTATTTATTTGAAAAATACAAAAGAAGTACCATTAAATTCAATTTGATTCTTAATAATTTGCATTTGTAAAACAGTTACATTAAACATTATGTTTTTATAATTATAAGTGTTTGAATAATACAAACATCAAATGTTTAAAGTTTAAGTTTTGATATAAAATTCTATATTTTATTATTTTAAACACATTAATTAATTAAAAACACAATCAATTTAGATTTTATTAATAATAAAAAGTGACAAAATGCAAGAGGTGGGGTTCGAACCCACGCCTTCGAAAAGACTCATACCTGAAACGAGCGCCTTGGACCACTCGGCCACTCTTGCTCTACTAACCAAATCACTCATTTCAATACTCTTATTATTTATTTATAATATTTAAAGTAAAATATGTTGAATAACTCGACTTTAATTTGGTTTATATTCTCCATTACTTGTTATTTATAAACACATTGGTTATATCACTTTTAATCAGTTAAAAGTATAAGAAGCATTTGTGGTCTAAGGGCAGAATTCCACCCTTCTAAGGTGGAGATCCGGGTTCGAGTCCCGGCAAATGCACTTTTATTATTATTAATATGACACTTTTCACTTCAAAATTGCAACCCAACACAGCTCACAAAAAGATATGATACTGTGAAATAAATAATTAATATGTAAAATGAATTAATAAGCAAGATGAATGTAAAGAGGCAAAATGCTTTAATCCCCTCTCAGTCTCAAAACAAGGCGAAGTGTTGACTTATTCTGGATGTTGTAGTCAGAAAGTGGTTTTCCCTTTACAAGCTGTTTGTCAACAAAGATGAGTCGCTGTTGATCTCGTAAAATACCTTCCTTCTATTGAATCTTGGCCTTAATAACATTGATGGAATTGTTTGGCTCAACTTCCAATGTGATTGTCTTACCTGTGGGTGTCTTTAAAAAAATTGTATTTACAAATTAACAAGTGTAGATTCTTTTCATAAATTCTGTTGACATATTTAAATGACGTGTACATATTTCAGTACTATTATTAAATAATAATCAAACTATCATATATTTTTAATACTATATTTAAATTAGTAAAACTATTATTGTTAATAATTTATAACAATCATTAAGTTTTAAAACTAATATCAACTTAAACAACAAAAAAAACACTCAAATTTAATGAAATCAATAAAATTTAAATCTCAATTCTGTTTTTTTTAAAAAATTGGACAGCACTGAATAAATGAATTGATTTTGAAAGACAACTAGTTAATGTTTGTTTTGCAAAAATTACTTTAAATTTTTTAAATATAAAGAACTAATAACTAATGAATTCAATTTTTAACTTTTGGTGTTGTCATACTTTAGAATGTCAATCATATTGTTTTCAATTAACAAAAAAACTTGTACAAATTATAAATGAAACTAATTTAACGACATTGAGGTGTTGTTGTTTATTCCCAAAACGTCAAAATTTTATATTTGGAACAGATTTATCAATTTTTGTTAATATTGCAAAATAAAATTACCAAATACCAATGGATGTATTAGAAAGAAAAGTGCTAAATAACTTACGATGTGCACTTTATAACTATGACAATATGGGCGATTATTTCAAACCAAAAGTCATCAACTTTGAAAATGTGAGTTTGAAGTATGACACTTTAGACTCGGCTGTTATGAATGAAATTGTGGAAGAAACAACAAACAGAAACATCCAAACTTTACACATTGAAGTCGCTCATAATAATATGGACAAAATATCTCTTTCTTGTATTAAAGCAAAAAGAATTGAGTTATTTGTTACACGTGGAAAAACACTGAAATTTACCAAATGTGAGACATTGTCTGACATCTATGTGAACACTAAAATGTGTGCTGTTGATCTCAAAACACTTCTTGACATTCAGTCGCTTGAGAGAATTGAAATCAAAGGAAATTGTATATTGGAGAAAACCACAAAGGAACACTATGAAGTGCACATGCCAGAACACTACAAAAGTGTTGTTTTTCACACAAAATTTGCGTTAAACACACTTTTTGATTATTCGCAATGTTACAAAACACTTCAAAAAATAAAGATGAACACATCTGATGCTGAAATTGACTTGTTTAAATTTGGAGAATTGCTTGATATAGATATTGAAAGCACATCTCCAACACACTGCACTCTCACTCTTCCAAACATCAACAGAAGACCAACAACTTTTAATACAAAGGATTATAGTAGACCTTATAAAGCAACTTTGGTATTCAAGTCAAAGAGTGCAAAGCTGTGTGTCTACAATTTGCGCAATTTGACTGAAATTGACATTGAAGGCGACATCGATGAATTGGACTTGAGTGATTGTACGCTGTGTGAAAAGCTGCGAGTTGTTTCAAGTGCAAAAGAGACTCTAATAACACCACAGTCTTTCTATCAGCTTTATCAGTTGTTTGATAAAACAAGGAGCTTGGCGTCCCTTTATTACAACCCAATTTGTTATTCATTCATTTTGAGAGAAATTGCATTTAAAGGGAATGTGAATATCAAGCACAATCAATTGTATTTCAGAGTCGTGTTTTGTGTTGATGTGGATACTAACATAGACATTGATTCAAAGTACATTAATCAAATATCAATTTTTGGCGTTAGAAGATTAAATTTTGGAGATGTCAATGTACAAGATAAAACAGTTATGGAAAAGCAGACAAAAGAAACGTTAGAAATTGCTACAAAAAATCGCAACATCAAAATTGGAAAACAAACACCAAAATTCAAACTAATTGGAAATCTTTTTTATTTTGTTGCAGAACACTTGACAGAAGATGACAAAGAAGACATCAAGTTTGATACTAACAGAAAAAGAAAGATGGGAAAATCTCAACAGAAAACAAAACATTCAAAAAACATGTTGTGTGTTGAACAACAATACGATGATCACTTTATCAATTCAGAAGATGTTGATTCAAACGATTCAGAATGTGAATGATTTTTAGAAAAAGTACTCATTATTTTTTAAATTAATTAAATCCATTTTTAAAACAAATTGACAAAATGATCAAATAATAAAATAATTCAATATAATGTCTCACTTTTGATAATAATAAAAGACAATAACTTATCACAAATAGTGTCTTATATATATCAAAATAATGTTTTATATTTATTTTTATGTTATGTTATTTATGGTATATTTTTATTTGTTTTATTTTCAATAATAAAACAGTTTATGTCTTACATTCAACATATAAAACTGAAATTGATGTTATAACTAAATTGTTTTTTAAAATCAAATAATAAAAAAAATGATTATGTTATTCAATTGAAGTCAAAACATTTAATCAGTCAAAAGAAACAAAAATACTACAATTCAATTAGATTGTAACTTAAATTGAAACAATTTAATAACATTATGTATATTATTTGTGTATTTATATGAAATGTTATTATTCAATTTT